TCTCAGCAATGACATTCTGCTGAGGGGAGTGGGGAAGGGTGGAGGTCTGTTGGATGCCGCAGGTGTTGCAGTATGTGGCAAGGGTGTTATTGATGAACTCACCCCCACCGTCAGAGTGAAGGCGGCCGATGGGGCGTTTGAAGTGATTGCGGCACTGTTCGGCCCAGTTGATGACCACTGCCGGCACCTGGTCTTTCGTGTGAAGGAAGAAGGTGGTGGAGTACCGGCTGTGGTCGTCAACGAGGACGAGCATGTACCGATGCCCCTGGCGGGAGCGGATGGGATAGGGGCCCCAGAGGTCCATGTGCACAAGGTCAATGGGGGCGGCGGCGAAGGTGGGATGACTGTGGTGGGGGGACTGTTTGAGCTTGCCGTGAATGCATGAAGGGCATGGGGGAGAGGGGGAGGAGGGGAGGGGAGGTAAAACAGGAGGAAGGCTGCGGAGGAGGCGAGAGGTGACTGTGGTGCGAAGGGCGGTGAAGTTGGGATGGCCGAGTCTGTGGTGTAAGAGGACAGCAGGGTGGGAGAGGGTAGTGGAGGAGGAGGGAGATGGGGTGATGGAAGGAACGGGAGGGGAGGAGGAGGATGGTGGGGAGGGAGAAGAGGATACTTGAGGGGGAGGGGAAGGGGGAAGTAAAGGAGGAGGAGGTGGACCGGTGGAAGCACCGGAACGAGTGGTGACGTGGCAGAAGGATGGGCGAGGCGTGCGGAGTGTGTAGAGGCGAGTGCGGGGGCAAAGCGGAATGCGGAGAAGGAAGCGACCGGAGGAGGTTTGTCACAGTAATTGGCATAACCGGGGTAAATGGCAGTGATACCAACACCTTGGAGCTCACGGTGGGAGAGGAGGTTGTTGCGGAGAGTGGGGATGTGGAGACCTGTGACCTTACCGGAGGGGAAGGCAGTGCAAGGGAGGGTGGAGAGGTGAGTGCATGGAATGGAAAAGCTGGAATCAGCCCCATGAACCTGAGTGGGAAGTGGTAGTGGGGTGAGAGTGCCAGCGTCTTTCAGTGCGGTTTCAGTGGCTCCACTGTCAAGGACAAAGTCCAGGGTGGGAGAAGAGGGAGGAGGGGGTGGGACGGGGTACTGAAACGAAGTCTCATTGATAGCAGAGGGATACATGGCAGCGACGGACGGTGCAACACTGATATTACCAAGGAAACTACCAGAAGTGTCGGGAACACTGGGGGGGCAGAGGGGAGGGAACCCCAGGGGGGAGGAGGAGGAAGGGAGGTATGAGCGGCCATGGCCGCTGTGCCGAAGGTGAGTGGCTGCTGCTGCCAGGGTGGGGGAAGGAACTGCTGCTGCTGCTGCGGCGGTGGCTGGAAGAACTGCGGCGGTGGCTGGAAGAACTGCGGCGGCGGCGGCTGCTGGGGCTGGAGAAACTGCGGCTGCTGCTGCTGCTGGTGGAAGTACAGGTGCTGCTGCTGCTGGTGCTGCTGAAACTGCTGCAGCTGTGAGGGTGGGGAGGGGGTAACCATGCGGAGGTGAGCAGGAAGGAAAGAGGGGAGGGTTTGAATATCCACTAAGGAGGGGCGAGGTGTGACCGAGTTCCAGCGAGGAGGGGTGCCAGTGTTGCCGCGATCAAACCAGGCGTCGTCGAGTGCCTTAAAGCACGTGGTGGGGGGATGGTTGGTCTGGCCGCAAGGGGTACCTGCACGGGGACCATGGCGACGCACATATGTGCATGGGGGGAGAGTGCCAGGGCGTCCGCCTCGAGTCACAGCACCTCCAGCAGGGGCGCTGCCAGCACCACCACCACCGCTACCACGGCCACCACGGCCACCACTACCACCACCACCACCACCACGGCCTCCACCACCACCACCGCCACCCGCTCCACGGCCTCCGCCGCCGCCGCTGCGACCACCCTGGTTGCGCGGCTGCGTAGCGTTGAGGGAGGTGGAGGAGGAGGACTGAGGGGTGGTAAGGTTGACAACGGGGGAGCGGAGCTTGACCTCCGTGTCGATGATCCACTGGACCACGTCGTCGAGGCCGGCCATGGGGTTGGCCTCAGTGAAGGCATGGAGGCGGGACTCGTAGTCTGGGGTGAGGTTGTAGAGGAGGCGGTGGATTTGCAGGGGCTCGGGGAGGGCAGCTTGGCGTGCCGCAAGGCGATCAGCGACCTCCTGCATGCGCCCCACGTAGTCAACTGCGCCATCACAAGTGGCGAGGGTGATGGAGAAGTACTCCTGGAACAGGGCGCCGACAGAGCTGATGTCGCGACGCTCGAACATGGCCTGGAGCTCGGCCCAGATGAGGGAGGCGCGCATCTCGCGAGCTTGGAAACGGCGCATGAGGGTATCAGGGAGTGCGCCGAGGAGGATGGTGCAGGCGCGGTTGTCAGCAGTGGCCCATGCGATGCTCCGAGGGAGGTAGTCCGCCATGGCCGTATTGTACTCATCAAGGAGCGCCAGGCGATTGGCGCGTTCCGCTACCGCGAAGTCGTGGTTATGTACCGCAACCTCATGCTCCGCCTTGCGGATGAGGTATTCGCGGCGATCGTGGAGAAATGCGGCATCGGCGGCATCTTGGAGCGCTGGGGAAGTGGCGATCTCCAAGGTGGGTTCAGGAGGAGGAGGACCAGGAGGAATGGGGGGTGGAGGGGGTTCGCCGAGGTGATTGGGTGCCGTGGGCTGGAGGGCTTGCGGGCGGCGGAGGAGGACGTCAAGGACGCAGTAGGGTCCGACGAATGCATCTTGGAGAACACGGCGGATGCTCCCGACGAAGGAATGCCAGTTGATCGCCGAGCGGTCCGCGGCAAGCTGAAGCTTGTCGACGGAGGAGGCGTCAATGGGAGGGGGGAGAGGGGGAGGAGTGGTAGCCATGAGGGGCGACGGCGGGTGGACCCGCGGCGGCCTCGAGGTGGACGGCGGCGGGTGGACCCGCGGCGGTCAAGTGGGAGGGCGACGGCGGGTGGACCCGCGGCAGCCGAGGGGGAGGAGGGGGGGGGGGGGGGGGGGGGGGGGGGGAGGGGGGGGGGGGGGGGGGGAGGGGGGGGGGGGGGGGGGAGGGGGGGGGGGGGGGGGGGAGGGGGGGGGGGGGGGGGGAGGGGGGGGGGGGGGGGGAGGGGGGGGGGGGGGGGTGCTGCTGCGGGGAGTGGAGTTCTTCTCCGGCTGCTGCTGCTGCTGCCGCTGCTGCCGCTGCTGCCGCTGCTGCTGCTGAGAGGGAGGAGGGGGGGGGGGAGGGGAGGAGGGGGAGGAAGATGGTGGATGCAGCTGCTGCCGCTGCTATCGCTGCTCCTGATGCTGCCGCTGTTGCTGCTGTGGCTGCTGAGCTGTCCCGGCTGCTGCTGCGTGGGAGGAGAGGAGGAGGAAAGGGGGAGGGGGAGGGAGAACGCAGGTGTAGCTGTGGGCGAAGCTGTTGCTGCCAATGACGCTGCTGCTGCGGGATGAGGCGGCTGCTACGAGGAACGTTCGGCGGCGGGATGCGCGGGTGGCGACGAGGGAATCGTGGCGGCGGAATGAGCGAGCGGCAACGAGGAGGGCGCGGCGGAGGGATGCGCGGGCGGCGACGGGGAAGGCGCGGCGGTGGGATGCGCGGGCGGCGACGAGGAAGGCGCGGCGGCGGGATGCGTGGGCGGCGACGAGCAGGTCGCGGCGGTAGGATGCGGGGGCGGCGATTGTTAGGTCGCGGCGACGGGATGTGCGGGCGGCGACGAGCAGGTCGCGGCAGGAGGTCGCGCGGGCGGCGACTTTAGGTCGCGGCGGCAAGGGGTGCAGGCGGCGACGAGAAGGTCGCGGCGGCAAGGGGTGCAGGCGGCGACGAGAAGGTCGCGGCGGCGGGATGCGCAGGCGGCGACGCGAAGTCGCGGCGGCGGGTCGTGCAGGCGGCGACGCGAAGTCGCGGCGGCGGGTCGTGCAGGCGGCGACGCGAAGTCGCGGCGGCGGATCGTGCAGGCGGCGACGAGCGGGTCGCGGCGGCGGGATGCGTAGGCGACGACGGGGGGTCGCGGCGATGGGGAGTGCAGGCGGCGACGCGAAGTCGCGGCGGCAGGACAGAAGGCGACGACGGGGCGTCGCGGCGGCGGGATGCGCAGGCGGCACCGAGGAAGGCGCGGCGGCGGTGGGGGGAGGCGGCGACGCGACGTCGCGGCAGCGGGAGGGGCAGGCGACGACGGGGCGTCGCGGCGGAGGGATGCGCGGGCGACGCCGAAGTAGGCGCGGCGGCGGGAGGGAGACGGCGACGGGGGGTCGCGGCAGGGGGAGGAGGAGGCGGCGACGAGGCGTCGCGGCGGGATGTGCAGGCGGCGCCAGAGAAGGCGCGGCGGCGGAAAAAAGGGGGAGGGGGGGGGGGGGGGGGGGGGCAGCGACGGTGTGTCGCGGCGACGGGGGGCGGTGATGCACTCGCGGCGGTGGGATCCGCAGGCGAGGAGGGTGCAATCACGGCGGAGGGAGGGGAGGGCGGCGACGACGTAGGTCGTGCCAAGGAGATGCTAGGTTGAGCCACACGTAGGGGGTTTGTGGTTGTGGGGTGGGCCCATGGGGAAGAAAAAACTTTGAGGGAGGGAGAGAAAAGGCTTAGGAACAACTAGCTCTATACCATGTGAAGATTGTGAATTGAACAAGTAATTAGATTAGAGGAACAACCTAGCATACATAGTTGGAAGGGAAGGTTGGAAGGGAAGGATGAAAGTGACCATAGGTTGGGTTGACCTCACTTGGGGAAGTGAGGGAACCATAGGTCAAGTGGGTTGGGTTGCCCACACTTTGTAGAAGTGAGGCAACCCTAGGCCCACTTGGCTTGGGGTAACCTCAATTGTGGGAAGTGAGGTACCCACAAGTCAAGAGGGTTGCATTTGGGGGCTCCACCACAATTGGGTGGATTGGCACCCCAAAGTGCAAGACTAAACCCAAAGTTGGGTGTAGTCCCAACCCAACTGTACACCACAATTGGTGTACAGTCACATGTGTTGGCATGCTACACAATATATATTTTAACACAGTCCTCGTTGCTCGCTTGCTGAGTCAGTCCAGTCTTCCTTGTTCCTCTGTGCCTCGGTCATGCTGCAGGAGAACGCAACAGCGGGTGGGACGCAGCAACCAGTCAAGATTGTCTTTCCTGGCGGCCTTACTGAGGTGCGTTTTCAGATGTTGACTGCGCAGCACAGCACTGCGGCACTCATCTCCCTGTCAGCACACCTCATCGTGGCACCAGTCATACATACAGCTCGCTTTGACTTTTGAGACTTTCCAAAATGCGCAGACCAGCACTGTGGTGATGCGACACACATTTCCCTGTCAGCGCACCTCATCTCAAAACCTCATGCAGCTTTTCCGCTGCTTCAGTTTTTTCTCATCTTCCGACATCCACTCTGTACAAGGCTCATCACGTCATGACATGACTTTTGAGGCGACTCAAAGGTCAGCTGAGGCGCATGACACGGTTCTTGCTCCGTGCCATGCAAGGCTCAATGCTGTTAGTTGCTGCTTTGCTGGTTCACGCCGGTTCATGCAGCTACATTTCGGTTTATGCTTGTTCGATTTGGTTCATGATCGTTCAAGCTGGTTCCCCTGTTCTGATCATGCGCTCTTTATATGCCTTGTGTGACTCGTGTGTCTGTTCATCCCGCATTTGAACTCTCTCTTATCTTACCAACTCTCAGCCTCCCAGAGGAGCCTTTCCCAAGCGGCGAGTTCGTATCGCTGTGCCAAAGAAGCTGGTAAGTTCTGTTTCAGGTTGCAGCATCAGAGAAGTTGGCACTGTAGGTACGCATAGTTCGACCCATGTATTTCATGATAATGTTTCTAAGCAAGTCTTTTCAGGATCCAATAGAACTATGGAATTCGCTTTTCAAACTCCCTCCAGTTAAACATGCCTGTGTCCACCAATACCGCCTCCCACAAATCTACCTGCAACTCACCAATGTCTCTGCAGACGAATTGAATCGGCAACGCCCGATTTTTTTAGGCACCTCAAAATGTCTCCGTGCTTGTCTCCCCCAATACCACCTCCCCAGATCTACCTGCAATTTGCCAACATTTCAGCGGACGAGTCGCTGGGCAACGGGCGGTTCTCGGGCTACTGTGTGGACCTGTTCCGCCTGGCCGTGGCCCGTCTCCCTTATAAGCTCGACTACGAGTTTGTGGAGTACACCGGTGCCCTCATCAGCTACACCCAGATGGTGCAGGCTGTACAGAATAAGGTGAAGATTTAATGTGTTACAGAGAGGGATGTAGAGAGAGAGGAGTGCAGGAGAGTGAATCCGAGTTATGCTCTCTCCGATCATTGCTCCACTCATCTAGTGCTGCTGTGCTATCATCTCTCTCTCTGTACTTCTTGTCTCACTGTCCCTCCTCTCACCTCACTGACTTTTCAGGCACCTCAAAAGCCCACTCCTCTCGTGCTATCAAGTCTCTGTGTTGCTTGTCGCACTGCCTTTTTTTTCCCCACTGCCCGGCCCACAGGAGTTTGACGGGGCAGTGGGCGACATCACAGTGGTTGACTCACGTTATCTGCCACCCTCTATGCCACCTTTCCCTGTTGCCTATTTCTCACTCGCTCCTCTGTGTGCTCCTCCCCCACCGCCCACCACTTGAGCCGGCCCACAGGAGTTTGACGGGGCGGTGGGTGACATCACAGTGGTCGACTCGCGCCTGCGAATGGTCTACTTCAGCCAATCCATCCTCGTACGTGTGCCTGTGTTTTATAGTGAGCGCGAGCAGGGGGTATGGTGATGATACTGAATGCAAGAGATGACTTCTGGGTCGATTCAAAGGCATCGTTGTATGTGTGCTTGCGTAATATGTGCCTTCTTCACTGTTTTTTTAGTCTGCTCAGCAAACCACTTCACCCAACCCAACCCATCGTTGTATGTGCTGTGCCCGCGTGTTATAGCCCATGCAAGAGATGACTTTTGATTCAACTCTGAAGTATCCTCGTTACCTCATTTGTGCCTGCTGCCTGCATAATAAAGTGAACCCAAGTGATGACTTTTTTTACTCCCCGAAACACCCTTTCCCCGGAAGCAACCGGTTTTGGACTGATACGCAATGCAAAGGGGAACAGTGACCTGTAATTGGTTCTGGAAATTGTCGCATACACCCCCCCACTCCCGAAACCCCTTTCCTCGATTGAGAGTCTGAGTCTGATAGGATACTCAACGGAGAGCAGCGACATGGACCGTAATTGGTTTGAAAAAACTCATACACATTGGAAATTCGCATACACCCCTCACCCCGAAACACCCTTCCCTGGCAGCAATCAGGTCTGAGTCTGACTGATAGGGTACTCGCGGGAGAGCAGCGACATGTGGACGGCCTTCCTGCCCTTCACGCCCTCCATTTGGGCCACCCTGCTCGGCCTCTCGCTGCTCACAGGCGCGCTCATTGTCTACCTTTGAGGCGCCCCAAAGTCGTGCGAAGGAGCAGCTACATGTGATTGAGGCGTTGTACAATCTGTTCCCTCGTCCCTAAACCACCCTTCTTCCCCCCGGCAGCAATCGGGGCTGAGTCTGATAGGGTACTCAAGGGAGTGCAGCGACATGTGGACGGCCTTTCTGCCCTTCACGCCCTCCATGTGGGCCACCCTGCTCGGCCTCTCGCTGCTCACAGGCGTGCTCATGGTGTTCCTCGAGTGGCGGCGGAACGGTCACTTCCGGGCGAAGCTTCACCAGCTGGCAATCACTGCCACATGGTGAGAGGGGGGGTGTGGTGGGGCGAATGCGGGCCAAACCAATGGGCCGCGGTTAGGGCTCTCTTGCTCTCCCTGCCCACACGCGCACTCACAGTGAGAGCGGGGGAAAAAGGGCATCAAAATCGACTCAAGGAGTCCCTTCACTGCTGCTGCGCGCACCGGGTCGTTGAAGCTTATGTTGGATCGCGCTGCAGCAGTGAAGGGATCGCTCAAGGAGTCCCTTCACTTATGCTGGATCGCGCACCGGCTCGTTGATGGCTGCCAATTTTCACCTGCGTTGGATCGAGCACTTCGGTTCGGAGGTGACTCTGCGTCGAGTCGTGTGCACTGTGCACATCAGTCCCATGCTGTTCTTCTCTCTGCGTTGCATGCACCAAGCTCCACTTCTTGGATTGCTGCCAATTTTCCTCTGCGTGTGTGTGTGTGCTCTGTGCACACACACAGTCCCATGGCGTCGTTCCAACCCATGTGCGTTGGGTGCTGCCTGTATGATCGGAAGTGCGTGCTGCTTTTCCCATACACCTTGTGTCCTGTGGCAGGTTTGGGATTCACACTCTCTACTCGGTTATAGGTAGGTAGGCCGTTTTCCCTGCATGCCTGCTTGTTTGTTGTTTTGATTTGTTTGTAGTACAACCATCTGGAAAAACATTGCATGCAAACATTGATATGGAAACATTGACATGCAGAGAGAGAGAGAAATGGGTCAGAGGGTCTAAGGGAATCACGAGTCAAACCGCATGTCTGTACCCCCTGCTGAATTAATACAAAGGACCATTTGAGAGACATGGTTCACGCACTCATTCTATCTATGTGGTGACTTCTTGAGTTAAAGTCCAAGTCCTTTTGCTGCCCACATCTTGATCCTCTCTCCCCGTCTTGCATCCTGTCATCCTCTCACCCCCACCATTCTCGTGAGCTCCACTCCCCTCACACCGCTCTGTTGCGTTTGCTTGACCTCTCTGTTCTCATTCTCGCATTCCTCTTCCTCGCCTCCTACACCTCCAACCTCACTGCCATCCTCACCATCCAGAGGCTCACCCCCACCATTCTCGTAAACTCCACTTCCTATACCTCCCTCCCCCAACCCTCCCCACCCCATCACCCCCCTGCCCTGTGCTGTGCTGTCATTTCTTTCTTCTTTCTATGCCTCTCCGTTTTTCGCCCTTCGCCCTTTGCACTACCTCCATCCCTTCGCCCCTCACCCACCCTCCCTGCCTTTACCACCTGTCCCCCACCTCTTCCTCCTCTTGTCACTCCCCCTCGCCCCATCAGGACATCACGACGGCCATCAACAGCAACGCCCCCATCGGCTACCAGCATTGCTCCTCAGTAAACTTAAAAGTCCACCCACCCTCTCACCCCCCCTTTTCCCCGCCCGCATCGTCCCCACCCCCCCCCTCCCCCCATCAGGACATCACGACGGCCATCAACAGCAACGCCGCCATTGGCTACCAGCAGGCCTCCTTCGTCTCTTCCTACCTGCAGCAGCTAGGAGTCTCTCCGGTATTTGAATGCTTGTAGTTTCTGCCCCTTGTGGTTCTGGTGCTGATGCATGCTTGGGGCTAGTGACGTTGCCGGCCACTGCATGAAATGAAATATCAACCTCCGTTCTGCGAACCTTCGTCTCTTCCTACCTACTGTAGCTAGTCATCCCGGGCCAAGCCGATGACACCAGCTTGTCCTGATGTGTATTTTGAGGCGCCTCAAAATACACCTCAATACTTTGAGGCGCCTCAAAATACACCTCAATGCTTTGAGGCGCCTCAAAATCTTCCTACCTGCTGTATCTAGTCATCCCCGGCCAAGCCAATGACACCAGCAAGTCCTGATGGCATTCCAGGGTGGGAAAAGTGCACAAGTCCGCAACAACCCTGCCCTGCCTCACCCTTTCCTCCGCCTCGATGCTTATGTTACTCTTGAGAATTCTCAAAAGTAACATCAACACCTCTGCACCTCTGCCTTGACTCCTGTCACTTCCCCTCTACACACCCTGGAACGCCATCAGGACAAGCTGGTGTCGTTGAGTGGGGAGAGCAAGTATGCATCGTCACTGGCGTCGGGGCGGGTGGCAGTGATAGTGGATGAGAACCCCTACCTGGCCGTCTTCACATCCAAGTTCTGCGACGTCATGCAGGCCGCACAGCCCTTCTCCTCCCTCAACCTCGCCTTCGTGCGTGCTTGTAACTTGTGGTTCTGGTGTTGGTGGCTTGCTCCTGTTCTTGTCACACGCGCTTGCTCAAGCTTGCATGCATTTGTTCGATCGCTCGGCCTTGTCCTATGGTGCTTGTTCTCTCTGCCTTGCTCACAGCCTTCCAGAAAGGCACCGAATGGAACGGACATCCCGAGCTTTGAGACGTCTCAAAATCAAAACCCCCCACTCCGCACAGGCCTTCCTTTACAAAAAAACTTTTAACTAGCCCCCGGCAATTTCGAAGTATTTTGACGTTGTGGCTCTCAACCCCCCCCTCCCCACAGGCGTTCCAGAAGGGCAGTGCGCTGGGCCCGGACATCTCAAACGCCATTGCTGCGCTGCGCATGACACAGGGCAGTGCATTGTGCCTCTGGGGAGTGACAAATAATAGGCCCCTCTGCTCTGTGGCTTTCACCCTCCTGCTCCCCACAGGCGTTCCAGAAGGGCAGTGCGCTGGGCCCGGACATCTCAACTCAAGTCCTGTTGAGACATCTCAAAGTCAAACCCCCCTCCTTCCCACAGGCTTTCCAGAAGGGCAGTGCGCTGGGCCCGGACATCTCAAACGCCATTGCTGCGCTTCGCATGACACAGGAGGTGGAGCAGCTGCATGCTAAGTACTTCAGTGTACGCATGATTCACTTGCTGCCACATCCGCCTCATCTGCCACACGGCTTCCATCAGTGCTCATCCCCTGCCTCTTTCTCCATACACTCTGCCTTAAGTTAATGTTGAAGTCGACTCAAATATAGATTCAATCATTGCTCATCCCCTGCCTCTTTTTCCAAACACTCTGCCTTAAGTTAAGGGCCCCGTAATCCTCTGCTTTGCCATTTTGTCGTTTTTTAGAACTTTAGAATACCTCTCACAAAGACTTCGTTTCCACACTTTATCCGTCCTCCCTCACCCCATCGCTGCCACTTCCTCTCCATCCTCTCCTCCCTTCCTCTTCCCCGTTCAGTCTGAGAGCGTGTGCCCACAGAAGACCACTGCGGTGCAGTTCGGTATACAGCGGTTCGGAGGCCTGTACATCATCTACCTCGTCATTTCTACCGGCTGCTGTATTGTCTATGTTGCTCTCCTCATCTACCGCGGTTACCGTTACATCAGGGAGAAGGGCGTGCAGTCACTAGTGGACAAGGTCAAGAGCTTTGGCAGGGAGCCGCCCAGCAGCAGCACTGAGGAAGGCGTTGACTCTGTTGACTCTGAAGACTCGGTTGGCTCAGACAAGGACAGCTTTGGCCCCTTGCCTGGCTTTCGAATGAGCAGAGGGAGCAATGGCAGAAGAAGCAACAAAGGGAGCTTCGGAAGTGGAAGATTAAACGAGAGCATTAGTAGTGGGAGCAAGAGTGGGAGCATGAGAGGGAGCATTGGTAGCGGGAGCATGAGCGGAAGCAGAAGAGGCAGTATGAGAGAGAGCAGTAGAGGGAGTATGAGAGAGAGAAGTAGTGGGAGTATGAGAGAAAGCAGTAGAGGGAGTATGAGAGAAAGCAGTAGAGGGAGTATGAGAGAGAGCAGTAGAGGGAGTATGAGAGAGAGCGGTAATGGGAGTATGAGAGAGAGAAGTAGTGGGAGTATGAGCGAGAGCAGTAGAGGGAGTATGAGAGAGAGCAACAGGTGGGAAACAGCCGAGCAACCGGCAAAAGATGAGAAAACAACAAAATCAGATGCTTTTTTTGAGGCGTCTAAAAAAATAACCAATTCAGATGCTCCATTGCCTTTCTTCTCATCATCCCCCTTGCTCCGCGCTCGGACCTTCTTTGCCCCGCTTCACATCAATCCATCCTCCTCCTCCTCCCTGCCCTCTTCTCTTGGGGTGCCTCGCAACACCATCTCCTCCTCTCCCTCCTCCCTCTCGCGGCCGTCCCCTACTGCTCGCGCGACCTCCTTATCTTGCTCCAACTCAGCAGCCCTTCACGCACTCCAGACCAGCAGCCACTCTTCTGCCCCAGCTGCTCAGAGCTCGTTCAGTGGTGCGAAGCAAGAAAAGGAGCAGGAGCAGCAGCAGCAGCAGCAGCTGAAGGGGCTTCCGGAAGCAGCATCAGCTCTCCCTCCTGCTCCAGCTCCTGCCGCTCCTCCTTCCCCTGCTCCTGTTCCTGCCACTCATGTGGCAGCATGTGCTCCTGTTGTTGCTGCTGCTTCCTCATTGGGATCAGCAGCGTCCTCCAGAAAACCACCAAGAAGCCGACAGCCTGTGCTCTCCCGTGCGTCACAGTCATCCCTGGGGAGCAAGAGAAGGCGAGGACCTCACGACGGGCAAGAATATGAGAGCTCTGCAGACGAGTTGAGCAGAGAGCGAGTAGCTCACACAAATGGATCTTTTCACAGAGAGCCTGTATCCCACGGAGAGGAGGTGTCTATTAACGAGCAAGCAGGAGGGACAAGGAGCATCCCCCTCCCTCCGATCTTCATACTCATGCCTATGCCAGCACCGCCGCCAGCACTGCTATCAGCCCAAGCAGAAGCACCCATTCAAGCCTCTCCTCCCAACAAAGCAGCAGCGGCACCAACTCAAGCTCAGCCACTCGGATACTAAAACTTCCCAGGCTCACTTCAATCGTCCCCCGTCTGCCCTCTGCTGAAAACCTTTTCCCCACAAACCGCTCTCTACCTTCCTCTACGCCCCCCACACGGCCGTCAGTTGACTTTTCCTCTCTGCCGCCCTCCTCCACTCTGCCGGCCTTTCCCAGCCTGCCGTCCCTCGGCTCCATTGACCTGCCAAGAATGGAGTCCTTTCACACCAAAGTGGACAGCCTAGTGGATAAATTCCACAAGGTCAGTTATCAACGTTGACTAGCAAAACTAGGAGCTTCGAAGCAATTATTTTCAGAGGGCTGCTTCTGTTGCTGCTGACTGCTGTGCGTTTCGTTCGAGGTCCCTTGTTTTTTTGTTGGCTCTTGATGCCATCCTATCTTCCCTTTCTGTTCCGTTTTCTTCGGGCCTCCAACGCGTCCCTCGTTTTTTTATGGCAGGGCAAGGATTGGAGCCGGGAGAGGCACCTGTCGGCCTACAATGCTCACCTGCAGCAGCAGCCCACCGTAGTGTTCGAGTTCCGATCGCCCTCTGCCTCGTCTGCTCATAGCCTTCCATCTCCTGCCTCCTCTGCTCACGGTTTTCCATCGCCTGCGTCTTCAATCGCCTCTGAAGGCCCGTCAGGACTGCAACGAAAGGCCATGGCTCGTCGCACGGCTCGATCGGTGTCGTTTGCACCATCACATGCGTCGTCGACATATGCGCCGGTTCATGTACGATCCCATGCTGCATCACGTGCACTTTCCCGTGGGGCATCCGGTGTGCCAGCCGGTTCAGCATCAGTTGCAGCATCCAGAAATCCATCAAGTGCAGGAACAAGCACAAGCAGCATCACTCCCTCCTGCAAGCCCACTCACCCCAAACAGCGACTGCCTCCACAAACGCCCGCCCGAGCCCACAGACATCCCTCGCTAGACCATCCCATGCCTCCAGCATCCATCCCGCCAACTCAAGGCCTGATCGGGAACGCCCTGATTGGTCAACGCCTTAGTGACCATCCACCTGGTCTCCCAGCTGGCTGCCCACCTGAGCTGCCAGCTGGCCGCCCACCTGAGCTGCCAGCTGGCCGCCCACCTGAACGGCCACCTGAGCAACGGCGGCCTGTGTCCGTGATGGCACGGCGGCAGCGAGCGTCGTGGAAGGCGAGGGTACAGTACTCGCCACGGGCCCGGAGGAGAGTGAAGACTGCTGCTCTCATGAAGACACACACACAGATGCGGACGAGGATGGCACAGGACAGGCGAGGGAAGGAGCCTGCGTGAAAGTGTGCAATGATGTCAGGCCTGCCAGCTCAGAGGTGAGAAAGTGGGAGAGTAAGAGAGAGTGCATTTGATCCTGTAACTCCCCTTCTTCCATTTGCTTCCTAAACATGCTTCTATGCACAGTATTCATACGGCATTACTGGGATGAACGTAGTACTGGTAATAACACTAGTGTTCACTACCATTATGATTAGTAGGGACATCAATCTAGGTTTCTATCCTGAAACGTGTTGTGCTTTGAGGTGGTGGTGGGTTGCTGGTACTACAATTGTATGCAAGAACACGAACTTGCATATACGTATATATATATAAGGCACTGCACCAGTTCTATAGCGATCTGCCAGTATGGTAAGCGTAAAGAGAACGAGTTTAAATAAAGAGTCCAATTCCATTGTATGTTTACCAACAAGCCTTCATAGGTAGCAAGCCATTGTACCACAGCAGATGTTAGGCCCCTTGGCCTAAATCCGCTAAAGATTAGCGGGGTCGACTAAGTCGAGGATGAAGCGCGGCGGAAGACTTTGGCGAAAGAACTATTGGCGAAATAGGCGAAGATGTTACTGAGTAATTGAAGAGTTGAATGAGAATTGGTTGATATGAGGGAATACAAGCAAGGTTGATATAGCATGCAAGAGCAATTGTGGGAAAGTGGGTTGTGGGACTAGGAACTAGAAGGCAAAGAAATTAGAGTGCCACGTGGCACTAGGAAATCCAAGAAGATAAGGATAAGGATGGGGTTGGGAGTTACTGTGCAAAGTGAACAGTAAAACCCCCTGTAACACTACCCCCCTCCCAAGGAGGCGACGTCCGCGGCGCCTGCAGACTGAAGGTACGCTTGAAGGCAAGCGTTGTCGGGAGACAGCGAGGACGAAGGAACCCAGCTGTCGTCGGCTGCATCGTAACCACGCCAACGAACCAAGAAGTCGATGAAAGAGACACCTCCCTGGAGACGGCGTCGGTGCCTGAGGATGCGCTGGATCTGGTAGTCGGGCTCGTCGGTGTCAACAGCTACCGGCAGTGGATTGCGATCATGGCCCGAGAAGGTGGCGTTGGGATCGATGTATGGACGAAGGAGAGACACGTGGAATGACGAGTGCATGCGGAAATGAGCGGGAAGGCGAAGGCGGTATGCGACTGGACATAGTGCGCGCTCAATGACGAATGGACCAATGAAACGAGGGCGAAGCTTGCTGTCCTGTGGCAGTCGGAGGTTGCGGCTGTCGAGAAGGACTCGGTCGCCAACTGAAAACGACACCTCATGACGACTGCGGTTGGTGGTGCGTGCCATGCGTGCATTTGCGAGCTCAGGGTGCTTCCTCACGTGATCATGAATGAAGGTGAGATGCTGGTGGAAGTTGTCCGCACGAGGGACAGTGGGTGTGAGATCGACACGAGTGGGGACATTGGGGTGCTGACCGTACAGTGCGAAGAACGGTAACATGCCTGTGGACGAGTGGTGCGTGTTGTTGTAGGCGAACTCGGCCATGCTCAGCTTCTTGTCCCATGCGGCTGCGTCGTGCATCGTGATGCTGCGAAGAATATGTTCCAAGGTCTGGTTCACACGCTCGGTCTGTCCGTCTGTCTCTGGATGGTACGCAGACGACATGGCTAAGCGAGTCCCAAACAGTGCGAAAAGCTGCTTCCAGAACTTCGAAGTGAAACGAGGGTCGCGGTCTGAGATGATGGAATCCGGAACTCCGTGCAGTCGGACTACGTTATCTACGAACAGCGTCGCGGCTTCCTCTGCTGTGACCTTGCCGTGCGTGGGGATGAAGTGCGCTGCTCAAGAAAACTTATCCACTACCACGAAGATGGCGTCGTGACCTCTAACTGTGCGCGGTAAAGCCATGATGAAGTCCATCGTAACTACCTGCCAAGGGCGGTCGGGTGGTGGAATCGGCTGCAAAAGTCCTGCCTTGCGCTGGCGAGAGGACT